GACGCGCCGCCCGCCTCTTCCGAGGCCGCCTCCGCCTCCGCCGCCTCCGCCGCCTCCGCCGCGGCGGCAGCAAGCGCGGCGTTCGACTTCGGCGCGAGGCGTTTGACCGCGTTGACCGCCTCGGCGCGATCTGCTGCGTCGTGGTAGTATGCGCAGCACCAGCCTGGCGCGCCCGCGTCCGCGGCAGGGCAGCGGCCGGGCGGCTCCGCGCCCTCGCAGCGGGAGCGCTTGTAATGCTCCTGCGGGGTGTTGCGCGATCGATGACGCGGAGTGACGTCATCGAACCCGCAGCCCCTTGGCCGTCACATACCACGAGCCTTCAGCCGCCCCCGTCCACGGTTGTTGTCTCCAACGACAGTGCCCCCCGCCCGCCGGTCCGATCCCAAATCGCTCCACGCTTTCAGAGGCACATTGACACCCGCGGGGATCCAAAACCCGCCCCTAAACCAAAGACATGGCAAGGCCGCTCCGCAGTTCCCGGGAGCGGCGCCGAAAACCGCCCACCGGATGGTACAGGATCTCGATCAGGCTGTGCGCCTTCCGGCAGGCCGCGCCCGCGGCGCAGCTGAAGTAGCGCGCCCCCAGCTTGGCGCCCGCGTTGCCCGCCAGCGACGCCGCCGCGGCGCCCTCGCAGGGCTGCGCGTGGTACGCTATTTGGCCGCCGACTATGGGGCGCCGCCGCACGTCGAAGGTCGGGGGCCCGTTGCTGTCGAACTGCGGGGTCCAGGGTTTCCGACCAGAGGCGGCGGCGGCGGCGCGCGGCGACGAGGGGCGCGCGAGGTGAGGCGGCTGGTCGCATGGATACGCAGGGTCCGAGTCTGCATACAAGGGACGCGCTCATGAATTGGCAGCGACACGGCCGGGGTGGGCCGGCCTGCGCTGGGGCGGTCCCGCCAGCTGCCCATGGAAGGACGTGCCAGCCCGCGTCGCAATGGCCAATTCAAGCCCGATCCGCGGCGTCAGGCGCGTCATCCTCGGCGCCGTGACTCACCCTGATGACATGGTACCCCGGGCACGCCTCGAACACGTGCTTGAAGGGCAGCAGGCAGCGAGCCCCCTTGAAGCCGCCGCCGACCACGAACTCGCGCGCGGTTGCCGCGGGCGCGCCGGGCGGCGGCGGGCGCACCTGGCCCGGGGGGTGCCAGCCAGGGGGGGGAGGGGGCTGCCGCGTCAGGGCCGCGTCGGGTGTGGTCCCACGCGGGCCCGCACCGCGAGGATACCCCCGGCCCAGGGCTGCGTAATGCAGAGCCCTGGCGTCACCAAACAAACCCAAAGTATACTGCTGTCGGCATCGAAGCGCGGGACCCGAGGTTGTACGAGCGACGCGCGCATCGCGGGCGCCTGCCAGCGAACAGCCAGGCATCTAACGACGCCGCACGCATCATACGGGATCACGCGCAGGTTGACAAGCAGGGCGCAGGGCGCAGCAGCAGGCTCCCACACAACACAAGGGAGGCAGCCAGCAGCAGGCCGCCTGCTTGCGCCACTCAACCCTGAGCCCTAAACCCTGAACCCTAAAACCTCACCTGCGAAGCGTCAGGGAGATCCGCCAGCCACCCGAACTGCGTCTCCAGAGTCGTGCCTGTGCCCGAGCGCTTCCACTGCGCGGCCAGGGGGGCCAGCTTGTCGTCGAGCTTGTTCTTGAGCATGACCGCCGCGTCGTGGGCCTTCATGCCGTCAAGGAAGGCCTGAGTGTGTGCAGGGGTGTGTGGGTGTGTGTGGGCGTGAGTGTGAGTGTGACTGAGTGATTGTGTGTGTATAGGGGTGTGTGTAGGTGCAGGTGCGTGTGTGTAGATCTGGGCATTTCCACTGTAAAGGACGGTCTGAGCTTGTGCACGTGTGTGTGTGTGGGGGGGGGGGGAAGGTGTACACTTGGTCCTTCACTTGGCGGTGCGTTCCTGGTTGCTGCTGAATTCCCAATCGTTTGCTGCTGAATCAGACAATATCTAAAGCCAAGCCCACCTCGTCAGGCTTGAGGCTGCTGTAGAGCAGCAGAACGTTGCCGGTCAGCGCCCCCCGCCTGTCGCTGGTCGCCTGGGACTGCAGCGCCAGCAGGTTAGTCATCAGGCGTTCCCCCTTGTGGGCGGCCCTGCCAGCGCAATGAAATGGCAGATGGCGCGAGCGAGGGCCAATTTCAAAGCGAACACTGCGCGCGCCACCGGGCCCGCCCGGCCGACAGGCGTCCTGGTTCGCGCAGCGCCACGCCGCCCTGGCGCTTTCCATGTCACTACCCCGCAGGCATTCAAAAGAGGCGGCTGCGGGACGGCACGAGAAAGGGGTTGATATGATTCGAAGCGCTCACGTGACAGAGATGAACTCGTTGCGCCACAGGCGCATGGTCGACAGCGGCGGCTGGCCGGGCGGCAGCTCGGAGGGCGGGTACCCAAACACCTCTTCGAACAGCTTGGGGTTGGGCGCGAAGTAGGTGGCCCATAGCCGCCGGGCCAGGGTGATGTTTGCGTCTTCGCCATAGCCGACCTCCGCTGCCGTGAGCTTGAGGTTCTGTGGTGTGTGTGTGCGTGCGTGTGTGTGCGTGTGTGTGTGTGTGTGTGCGT